ATAAATACTAGTTTTTACTTCAAATCAACAATAGTTTGTGAAAGATAGTTTAAGTTCTTGGGACTTAACCAAAATCTCGAATTTTGGGCTTCTACAAGGAGTTTCATGAGTTTTAAACGCATATATCACAACATGCAAAATATGGACAAGTAAATAGTTGATGATTTTACAAGACCTTTGACTTGTATCCTCCCCCAAAAACAATATAAATCTCGAAAAAGTAGGGGTATGAAGCTCACCTTGGTTTGATTTGGTGGGTGATTTGGCTAGATGATGAGGAGTTTCCAGGTTCTAACCCTTGAAGAGTTTGATAAACTCTTTGAACTTGAGGATGTCCTACGAATATTAACACATACTTTTATGTGTAAATATGATGATACTAACAAAATAATGTGAAGAATCACTAGCCAAATAAGATATACTTACAACAATCTAGGGGATACTTTGAAGAAATCAGATTGAAGCTTGATTACACTTGGAGAGCACACTTTGGGGTTTACAGAATGTGAATATGAGTTTCTGGTGGAAATAGAGAATGAGTTTATGCTCAAAGAGGATAAAGGAGTGATAAGATGTGCTTGGTTACCTGGAGGGTATTACATGTTTATCCGTGACCACCTTGGAAATGGTTGAAATGTTGCATCATAAAGTCAAAGGCATTTGTTTTATTTACATCTCATGGTTTAAAATAATATCTTTTGAAATCTTTATTTTAAATGATCAGATTTGGCTTAAAAATGGGGGTTTAAGGGGTCTAAGTTGTGAAAAAAACGAGTTTGGTGGGATTCCCGACGTCAAAATACCTCGAAATGATGAAATGGTCCGAAGTGGTTCGAAATCCGGAGCCAAATGGTGAATTTCGGAGTCATATAGTAAATTCCGGAGTCACTTGGTGAGTTCCGAAGTCATTTCCCAATTTCCGAAGTGGATTCAAAAGGTTCTGGAGTTGATTCAGAAATTTCGGAGTCAAACCAGAAGTTTCGAAGTCTCCTCAGATTCCGGAGTCAGATGCGAAGTCAACATGTCCGAACCGAGGGTGCGGAATCGGCTAGGAATTCCGAAGCGGCTAAGGCGAGTTCTTCCGAAGCTAAACCTTCCGGAGCTGCGAGATTGTCCGGCTGGGGAAATTCCGAAGCCAATTCTGAAGGTTCCGAAGCAGGGGGGGTCCGAAGTTGCTTAAAGGGGGTTCCAACTGGGCTTGTTCTTTCAAGCTTTCTCCTTTCATTTTGAGTTGATTTTGACAAAGGAAAAACTACATAGGGAGATAGGAGAGATATTTGAGATACATAGAGAGATTTGTGAGAGATTTGAGGTATATAGAGAGATTTGGGAGAGATTTGAGATAGATTTGAGATACATAGAGAGATTTGGGAGAGATTTGAGATACATGGAGAGATTTGCATTCTAACACTACATGGCTCATTAGGAATCATATTGTACACTTTAATGTGTTAGCACAAGTCTCACAATAGTCATTGCTTACATGAGGACAAAATTTCCTAGTAAAAAATGCTAGTTGTGACACATTATAGTCGAGATTGACATTGTCCTTGGCTGCATTAAATCGTTTCCTAAAGGAACTTTGTGTGGGAGAGACGACTTCAAAACTCAACACATTTTGGATGCTTTATGTGGGGAGGGGTCTGTTATAGTCATGGATCTCTTATGTATCATCACCATAGTGGTTAATTAATGGCTAGTGGGAAGATGTATGACAGAATTTGTAGCGTTTTCACGTATTACTCCGCTCCTTAAACCTGACAATGGAATCCGTCCTAATGTTGTGGGCACTAGATGAAAGTGTTTGGTTTCGAAGGTTGCTATGAAAGGTGTTGGTAAACAAATGACACAATACCTTAATGATTTTCAATTTGGAGTAGGTGTCCCGGGTGACGTTGTGGCCATTCTTCATAGTGTCAATAAGGTGTTGAGTGAACGTCATGATGATGGGTCTCTTGCAAAGCTTAATGTGGATTTCTTGAACGTCTTCAACTTGGTGGATAAATCTGCCTTACTTCATGAGGTCGGGATGAGGTGCCCTTCCATTTCTTTGTGGGTCGAATTCTTATATGGACAGACAGCAAGTTGTATTTGGGAGATAAGCATATTTGGTCTACTACTGGAGTTCAGCAAGGCGAACCTTTGGGACCACTTCGTTTTGCTCTTGTATTCCACCCACTTGTACATCGGGTTAGAGATAATTACAAGATTCTTCTTCATGCTTTGTATCTTGATGATTAATATGTAATATACCTTATGTTTTTATATAAAGTGTAATCTGACTTACAAAGAGTTCTTAGCGAAAACCGGGAATTATGCGAGCAGAACTCTGATCCGAGAGCTTCTAATTGTCGGCTATTTGATACCGCATGGCCTCTCTATAGTAGCCGGGAACTCGGTGTTGGATTAGATGTCTAAGCCCATAACTATAATTTGTATGTACTTGATCTGATAGTAGCATGGTCCTTTTGGGTTGCCTTCACTATAACAACTTTACAAGATGACTTTTGGAGAGAGAAGTTATTTAATGATTTATTAATATATTATAAGAATAATATATTAATTAGATATCATATTATTTAATTATTATTTAATCAAAAATTAATTTGGTATTAATTTTGGGATTAAAGGAACTGATTAAAAGTAAGGGGACTGGTTATGCTAATCATTGATAGTTGCAAACTGGGCTGATGGACTACCTTGGAATGGGTTGGACGATTTTCTATAAGGAGGCCCTATAGAAATCGTCAAAGGCCTTCTAGTAGGAAGTCCATGGGCTGCTTGGAGCCTAAGTAAGGAATTAGGGTTTCACTTGGAAACCCTAGCAACCACAAGTATATAAAGGCCCCTAGACCTCTTGAAATCGGCCACTGCTTCACAAGGAGAAACCCTAGCCGATTTCTGCCCCTCTCACTCATCCTTTGCTTTTGGTATTTGTGATTCCATTAGAGGTGCAACACGTGAGACACTCAAGCTTTCGAGAGTCAATATCATCAGTGTATTACTTGTTATTACGAGATAACAAGAAAGGTAACAATCCAACCCTACTTTTCATATTGTTTTCTGAATTTGTATGCTAGTATTAGGGTTATTGTTTTGGAACTTCTATTTGCATGTATAACTAGAGAAAAACTTAGATCCAAAGAAATTAGGGTTGCATGAACACATAGGAATGTTGTTATGCTCAAAACCCATCAGTGGTATCAGAGCCTAAGATGTTTTTCTGTTATATTTGATGCAATAGTGAACCGACCAAATCGAATGCATAGTAGAAATCGTTTTCTGCCTGATGAACTCGACGAGTCCTTGCCCTGACTCGACCAGTTGACTCGTCTGTTAGCAGATTTTTTTGAATTTTGATTTATTTTGGATTTGGATAATTACCATAAATCGTTTTTTATCACCATAAATTGATTTTGTTAAAGGATAATCTGATTTCCTTATCTAAATAGATGGATTTAGTCAAATTTTAAGATAATGACAAATTATATGATTAATTAATTATTTAAAATTTGATCTAGTAATTTTGAAAAGGTTCAAATTGCACCTTTTAAGTTTTGGAATTTTAAATTTAATTAAAAGTTTAATTTTGAAATATTAAATTCTAAAACCGTAGTATTTTAAAAGTTTAAAATACAACCCTTATACTATTATAATATTAAAAGATTAATATATATATATATATATATATATATATATATATAATATGAGTCAGTCTTACCGTTAGTAGACATGATTCACGAATCTGGTCTATAATGGATGTTTAAGGAAGCAACCTATAAAATGACCGTAACTGGGTATCGACTCTTACCCACCGTACTCTTGACTAGTGGAGGGTCGTTAGCCGAACGGGTAGGATAGGACATTAACTCTCTCTCAATCGTTATCATGGGACACTCTGATGTTTAAAATAAAAATTGTTGTTGTTATGAATTTGAAAACAATTGTATTTGAGATTACATATTGACGGAACGTGTTTTGGTTAATTAAAAATGGAAAATTTCTTTTGAAAAATTGGATCGTTTCACAACTAAGAAGAAGGATGCCGTAATCTTATTGCAAATTTATGAAGGTATGTAAGAACAATTCACAAATTTCAAACTATGAAACTCCTAGATCATTTGAGATTCATTGAATCTTATCAAATTCATGTTTAATCTCATATCATGCTCTTCTATTTGTGACTTTTGCGAGTAGGTTTCCACTTAATTCGTTTGCCGTTTCCAAAAAAACCGGCTACAACCGGTTTCCTTCTTAAAAACAGCCACATAGGCTTGCTGATGTGGCTATGCTTACTCGACTGGCTTGTAAAAAGAGGGAATATTTGTAGCATGGGAAAGTAGAGATGGCAACGGGGGCAGGGAACACAGGGGACCCTAATCCCCATCCCCATCCCCGAATCCTCATTCCAATCCCCATCCCCATCCCCATCGGGGAATATAAATAAACCCCCATCCCCACCCCCAACGGGGAAACGAGGGTTTCTTTTTCTCTTTTAACATGCAAACTTTTACGTAAGAAAAAACTCTATATTTCAATTTTACCAGCATAAGTTTAAAGATTTTATAAAATATATAAGTACCCATAAATTGCATAAAAAATATAAATAAATTTTCTACCAAATTTAAATTCATACATGAAAAATCAAGTAGAAAAAAATTATCAGATTGATATTTAAGGTAAAATAGATCAACCAAAGAGAAAAAAAAATATATACACGAGTTTAAATTAGATAAAAGAAAAAGCAAAAAATATAATTTCAACCACGTAATTACTAATGAGTTAGGTTAGTTAGATCAAATTTTATGTATTATAAACTATACTATAAATATATGTTATATATTATTTTTATATATTAATATATGTCGGGGGCGGGTCCAGGGTCGGGGATTAAGGCTATCCCCATCCCCATCCCCACTTTTTTTATTTGGGTATTCCCCATCCCGTCCCCATCCCCGGTCAACCTGGGATTGCCCAGTCAAAACGGGTGCGGGCTTCGGTTCTCCATAGGGTATGGGCTTTTTGCCATCCTATGGGAAAGGGTAAAAACCCTTGGTGGTTTTCTTTTTTGCTTCGGCACGGGAACGACGAAGGGACGGATGGAACTACTGTAATCCAAATAATCGCCGGAATCAAAGGGATCAACAAGAAGAAGTGGAACGAGCAACGAAGAACAGCTCATACGTCCATTAATCGGGTAAGTTTTGCGTTTTTTTTTTTTTTTTTTGGTTTCAGTCGTGAAGGAAGAACGAACCGAGATGCAGCTTTTTGTTGTATTTTGGGTTTATCTATATTGATTAATTACGTTTTGAATCACAATTGAACGATTGTCACTGAGTTGATCATTAGGTTTATCTATATTGATCAATTTCTCGTTGTAATAGTTGATATATTTACCTAAATATCGCACCTTTTCAATCCTTCTCTTTTATGGTGCTTGTGAAAACCTTTTCTTGATTCTATAATTGATATGGGTATAATCTGTATTTTCCTTATAACTTGAACAGAGGATTGAAAATGCTACAAGTAGACAAGTGACCTTCTCCAAAAGAAAAAAAAAATGGGGAAGTCGAACCCATTCTCCTTTCGTCGTAGCAGCAGCACAACCAGGCGTCGACGAACAACGAAGAAGGTCGGCGAGTCGCAGCAATCGGCCAACGCGCCGTCACCACCGGCCAACGTCGGGGATGTTGTGGCGACGAAACCGAAGAAGAAGGCTGGTGGAGCGAGATTGTGGATGCGGTTCGATAGGTCTGGCGAATCTGAGCTTTTCGAGTGTGATAAGAACACCATCATCAAACGGGCGGGTATTCCGGCTAGGGATTTAAGGATTCTTGGCCCTGTTTTCTCTAACTCCTCCAATATCCTTGGTAATCGCTTTGATTTTTAGGGTTTCTTTTCTCTGATAAAATCCATCGATTTACACCTTACTTATTCACGATACAGCTAGGGAGAAAGCAATGGTTGTTAACTTGGAACACATTAAGGCCATAGTCACAGCAGAAGAAGTCCTTCTACTTGATCCTCTTCGTCAAGAGGTTCTTCCATTTGTGGATCAACTGAGGCATCAACTTTCTCACAAAAACCATTTCAACACTTCTGGTATACAACAAGGTGGACGCCAGCTTGCTTTACGTGATACAGAATCAAACCTCTCAGCTTCTGGAAGATGGCAACCCGTTCCTGAAACTGCTGAAGGTTTGCAAGCCGAACTTCCATTTGAGTTTCAAGTTTTGGAAATTGCATTAGAGGTAGTGTGTACATATCTGGACTCAAGTGTAGCAGATCTTGAAAGGGACGCTTACCCTGTTCTTGATGAATTAGCTAAGAATGTCAGCACCAAGAATCTTGAACGTGTCAGAAGTTTGAAAAGCAATCTTACTCGTTTGCTTGCAAGGGTACAAAAGGTAAGGGATGAACTTGAACATCTTCTAGATGATGATGAAGATATGACACAGTTGTATTTAACAAGGAAATGGTTACAAAATCAACAAAGTGAGGCTTTGTTGGGAGGTGTTGGGTCAAATAGCTTCCCAAATAATGTCCTACATCTGCGCAGATTAAGCTCTGTAAAAAGTGGAAGTATGTTGACAAGTGGGAATTTGAATGATAATGATGTGGAGGATCTTGAGATGTTGCTTGAGGCTTATTTCATGCAACTTGATGGAACTCGAAACAAGATTTTATCTGTCAGTATCTCTATCTTTATCTCATCTCTTCTTTTTTATAATTATCCAATGACATCAGTCACAACCTGTTCTGTTCTGTTCTGTCCTGTGTAGGTTCGTGAGTACATTGATGACACGGAAGACTATGTGAACATCCAACTGGATAACCAAAGAAATGAGTTAATCCAACTGCAGTTAACATTAACCATAGCTTCATTTGCTATAGCTTTTGAGACTTTAGTGGCTGGATTATTTGGGATGAATATACCATGTCGATTATATGACATTGAAGGCATATTTGAGCCATTTGTTGGAGGCATAACTGCTGCTTCTCTTGTGCTTTTTTTGCTCGTTCTTGGATACGCCAGGTGGAAGAAGCTGCTTGGTTCTTAATAATTTATTATCTTATTGGGGCTTGAATTTTTGTTTTTGTTTGATATTATCATGTGATGAATGTTATTGATGCCTTTAGTTGGTTACTTTTATTTTTGAATGGTTTAATTAGTGATTTTCTGTTTTTTTTTTCTAAGACATACACAAATGTGAAGACATTCACACATGCACATCAGTGATACACAAACACACACACAAAAGTTAATTTTTGATAAAAAGAAAAACTAAATTTTATACCAAAAAAAGCTGTGCATGCTTAAAAAGTATATCATTATTTATTGCATTTACCATACACAGGGTGTAAATGTAGTAAATTGTAAATGTAGTAAATTGCATTAAAGCTGCTGAGCTGGTCTATAAAAAGATCATTATGGGCACAAGGTAGGTAAGGGCAATATGGGAAAGTAAAAAAACCTACATTCTTATAAACAACTTAGACAGAAAAACACATACAGGGCCCAAATGCATTAAATGTTAAAATTAATAATAATAATAATAATAATAATAATAATAATAATAAATTGATTATTATAAAGTAGATTGGTATTTGTTGTATTTGCCCCATACAGTGCCTAAATGCATTAAATAACGTTGGAGTTTCTATTTAAAGTAGATTGGTATCTTTTGTATTTACCCCTTACCTAACACACACAAAAGTTAAGTTTTGTTAAAAGAACAAAATTTCATACAAAATAATATGCAATCTTATAAAGTAGATTGTTATTTATTGCATTAAATAGAATTATGTTGCTGAGTCCATATGGAAGAATTTAATTTTAGGTACAGGGAAAAATGTTACTAATGATGTGCATGGTTAAATAAGTTAACATAAATGGTTCCTGGTTAAGTAAATATACAAAAAATGGCCATTTTGGTAAATGTGACCATTTTTGTTCTTTTTTGTCATTTGGACGAGTTAAAAGTGTTAAAAAAAGAACTTTATAATGATATGAAATACTTATAACATGATGTATAATTATTTTTGAAAATAATGACAGTTTTAACATTTTTGGTCAAATTTGACCATTTTGGTTTTTTTGGTCAATGTTGTTTTTACATCTAATATCATCCTACTTTTCTTACTTTTTTAGTCTGATACAGGGAAAAAAACAAAAGTACCTAGCTATTTGATTATGTGTGTAAAAATATATTGGTCCAATTCATGCTTTAAATGCATTAAAAAAGCAATGTACTTTATTGAATTAATCAAAACAAAAAGTAATTTTTTTTAGTGAAAACAACTATTTTTACCTTCTTGGTCAATTTGGTGATTTTGACCATTTTTGCTAATTACATATTCTTCAATTTGGGCATTTGTGTCACTTTAAACCGAACAAAAAAAACATTATAATGATAAGAAAAACTCAAAACAAATTCTTTAGAAATGGTCATTTGGTCAATTTGTTGATTTTGACCAGTTTTGGATGTTGGTTTTTGCTTGTAATAGCATCCTACTTTTGTTACTTTTATTTTCCAGTTTTGGTATAGTTAAAAATGTTACAAATGATATCCATGATTAAATAAGTTTACATAACTGGTCCATGGTTAAGTAAATGTACAGAAAATTACCATTTTAGACTATTTGTTAAATTTGATCAATTTAATTCTTTTTTATCATCTGGATGAGTTAAAAATGAACAAAAAAGAACTTTATAATGATATGAAAGACTTATAACATGACGTATAATTTTTTTTGGAAAAAAAAAATTAATTTAGACTTTTTTGGTCAATTCGACCATTTTTACATTTTTTGTTCTTTTTGGTCATTTCGACCAGTTAAAAAGGAACAAAAAAACTTATACTAATATTAAACACTAATAATAGAAAGTAGAGGTTTTTTTGTGGTTCCAATAATCATTTTGATTTTTTGGTTAAATTTTTCATTGTTACTATTTTATTTTGTTATTCTTATTTTGGACCACTTAAATCATATATGTTGAATAAATAGCAAGATAATTTATTGAATAAATCAAATCATAAAGTAAAAGTTTTTTTTAGTGAAAGAGACCTGTTTTACTTTTTTTTGGTCAATTTTGTGATTTTGATTGGTTTTTGGTTGTTATTTTATGATTATGTCATTGTTATTATTTTATATCATTTATTAAGCTAACACATATCCTCAAAAGCAACTTATTATGGTTACAATTTTTTATGTTGATCTTGAGACCATTTTAGTAGTTTTTTTAAAATATAATGTATTAATAAAATAAATTAAAAATATAGTATCACAAAGAAACGAATGTGCTACTTTTTGCATTTAACCGGATAAAAAATATTTATCTATTCGGCTTTCAGCATATATGGTTTATTTCCAACGGTTATAAAAAGTATAATAGTTTTTATCTTTAAAAAAAATAGTTAAGTTTTTAAAACTTAAAATCTAGAAAATTGTGAAAACACTACATTAGTATTCTCTTTGTCTGGTTATATACAAACATCATTTTTGTTTGCTTGTAATTAATTTCTTTCTTTCAAAAAGAAGTAAATTGTTGTGGTGTTTAGAGATAAGTGCTCAATACGTTTTCTCTTTGCTTGTAATTGCTTTCTTTCTAAAAGAAGTAAAAGTTTGAAATATTTACAGCTGTAATCAAAATCTCAAAGTTGTGGGAATGTGTAAATTGTTATAACTATAGGGGCTGTTATTGTAGTTGAGCTCAATCTCTAGGGAGGCAAATGTAATAAACCAACTAAGCATTCTTCCTTTGCTTGCAACCTGCCAATTTTACAGCTTGCAAACTTGCAAGTGGACAAAAAGTGTGGTGGATTTCATGATTTTTGTTTACTTTTTCTGTAATTTACAAAATTTTAAAATAAATAATAGTACAGATTTTATTTTATTTTTGGCTAAACATTTATTTTTTCACTTATAATATTATATAGAGAAAATACCAAATATAACCATTTTTCTTAATAATTTGCTAAAAGTAACCAAAAATTTAGCATCTCAAAATAGCCATCAAATTTGAAATGACAATTGCCAAATGCCACTATTCACTCACTCGAAAATTAATATTTAATTTCTCTTTTTCTATATTTTACACATCTTCTTTATAAAATATTTTTCGACCTAAAACTCCATTACCATAATATGAAACTTCACTTTATTGAGAATATAATTTTCGAAGATCCCTACCACACCAAATAATATTTTCTTGATAAAAAAAAATTCGATTTTCGTAAAAACCTGAACAATTTCATAGCACACAATGTATAGCATTTTGCAATGGATCCTACGTTATATGTGGTTATATTTAAGAACTTGGTTAATATTTGACTATTATTCTACAAATAATTAATTATTTTTGTCAAGTTTATCAATTATATATCTTGATCTTAAAATTAAACTGTAATATATAATCTAAAATATCTATTTTGGTACATAAGTTCAAAAAATATTCTAAAATATCATTTCCATATAAAAGTTTATTTTATTATTATATTATATATATAGATATATATATATATATATATATAAGATATATATATATATATATATATATTAACGTTGTGGAGAAAAGGAATAGTTAACTTGACACATTTTGTCCAGCTTTGGTCATTGAATTACATTTTCGGTCCCTGTACTTCTTTAATTAATTTATTCATGTCCTTTTGTTTGTGTTCCATTCAACTTTTAATTTTTTTGGCAGAATTGGTCCCTGTATTATTGTTGGAAGTTAGGAATACTAAATTTGGATGTTTTTTGGCAACTTTGCTCATTATTCTTTATCCATTTTGACACTTTTGGTCCTTGCAATCAATATTTTTACACTTTTTTGGAACCTTTTAATATTTAAAGTTTGGCCACAAAACTTTAACAGTTTGACAACTTTGATCCATTTTCTAAAAAGTTGCTAATTCCTACCCCTTTAATTCTTTAGCCATTTTCACACTTCTGGTCCTTGCAGTCAAAACTTTTACATTTTTTGTCCGGGGCAAAGCCCAGACTTTTCATCCTTGCACTTTCTATGTCTGTCATATTTATCAATTCGGAAACAACATTGAAAACTTCTAGCCCCGCTGGGTAACCTTTCTAGTTATTAGTATTATTATTATTTTTGTAAATGAGATAGTATTATTAGGAGGAGGTAATAATAAATAAGAAAAAGGCAAAAAGGTGTAAAAACAAGAACATCTCATCTTGGGTTGTCAAACCCGAGCTTTATTCATCAAGCAAGTCAACGAGAAAGGAAGGATTCGTAAGACGAAGAAAACCCTAATCATCAAAAATTAGGAACAACAAGGAACTCTGCTTCGATTCGATTTGTAATCTTCGTTTTTATCTGATCACATTGCCTATTCTTGAAGATCTTTACTGCGTGTATAGAGGTAATTACGGGTTAATTTCTCGTCAAAGTTTTTGCTGATTCTGAGCTTTCAATTATTCATCTTTCGGATAATGTAGGTGAAGGGGAGTTCATCAGTGTTTGATTTTTTTTAATTGATTGATTGTTGCGATAGGACACATAAGAGTTGTAGGAGTAACATGTAAGGAAAAAATGAATTGTTCGATAAGAATTTATTTTGACTTGATTTTTTTGTGATTAGAAGTGTCGTAAATGGTTTGTGATGTTTTCTAAGGGATTACTTCTAAATCTGGAAGCTGTTCTCTGTTTCTATTGAATTGGTTTCAGTTTTTTTGCAGGGATCTGTACTCTAACAATGGCGAATTCCAAGGGTCCTTCAACAATGAGAAGTATGATGTACACTGGAAAAAACCCTTTACTTCCCCCTAAAAGTCCATTTCCAAGCATTGCTCCATCATATGCAGATTATGTCTCAAATCCTGCTGTTGCCCCAAAAGGTCCACCAAAATACAGAGATGCAAATTCACATCAACGAACCTCATCTGAAAGCTTTCTGATAGAAGAACAACCTTCTTGGCTGGATGATCTTCTTAATGAACCAGAATCACCAGTAAGAAGAGGGCATAGACGTTCATCAAGTGACTCTTTTACATACATGGAAGCAGCTAATGCTGTTTTTAACAACGAATATAGAGCACAAAATGATTACAGATTGAGAAACTTGGGTTCTGTTCCTTCATGGGGACCTCAAGATTTTGATATTTATAAAGATTCTCGAAATCCGCCTTTTTATGGGGAACATAATGTGTTGATGAAAAATAAGAATCGGGCATGGGATCCTTCACAAAATGCATTAACACATTCTAATGCTTCAAGGGAGCATGATGGGAATACCTCAATAGCAAGTGAGAAGAAAGATGCAGTTGAATCTGTTAGACAAGATGGAGATAGTTCTGAAAGAAAGGATTCTTCTAACAACAAACCTTCTGCATCAGAAACAGACACAAAACGTGCCAAACAGTAAGCAATTTTTTTCTCTCTTTTGTTCATTTCCCATCTTGACTATAGTTATTCATGCTCGTGTAATTAGGTGAAACTATATATCTGGGAATTTGGATTCTAGAAATCAAGTTATTTTTCATCTTTATGACTCTTGAAATTAAGTGAGGTTGTTGTACTTTAATGGATTTCTCACTCTTTTTGTCAAGATGATATCTTTTATCTGGTTTTCATAGGAGATAAATGGCTCATCTAATAATCAACTCGATACAGGCAATTTGCTCAACGTTCACGGGTCCGGAAGCTTCAGTACATTGCTGAGCTGGAAAAGAATGTACAGGCTTTACAGGTAGATTAGAATTTAAAAAAAAAAAAAGTTTTTATTAATATTTTATTGATTCCAACCAGGTCATGTTATATATTTTGTGACTGTAGGCAGAGGGTTCTGAGGTGTCTGCTGAGGTGGAATTTCTGAATCAGCAAAGTCTTATTCTGGGCATGGAAAATAAAGCACTGAAACAACGGTTGGAGAGTCTGGCTCAAGAGCAATTGATTAAATACAGTAAGTTCCTTCCTACACATGTTTATATAATTACAAGAAATACTTTGGAAAATGTAACATTGAAAATGGAATATAAAGAGACAATCTTGGTTAATGTTTTGGGAATGAATTGGAATATGAAGCAATTGTAACATGTCACAGGAAATTGAATGGGATTCGTTAATAATAACTAAATAGTTTTTAAGTTTTCATTTATGGTTAAATTTATCATTTTTATTTATTTCATTTCAATATATATATATATATATATATATATATATATATATATATATATATATATATATATATATATATGATGAGGGTATTTTGGTCTTTTGGAAAAAGAAAGAATGGAGTTGAATTGAAATCCTTCCACCCTTCCATAGGAATGGTGAAATCATCAAACATGGAACTTGAAGTATTCCGATGGAACTGAATTCCGTTCATTTGGCAACCAAACACGCCATGGAATGGAATCTCGAATTGCAATTCTGTCGGATTCCGGTGGAATCCGATGGAAACTCAAGATTCAATTCCATGGCGTGTTTGGTTGCTAAATGGACGGAAGACAGTTCCATCGGAATCCTTCAAATTCCATGTTTGATGGATTTCACCATTCCTATGGAAGAGTGGAAGGATTTCAATTTAACTCCATTCTTTCTTTTTCCAAAAGACCAAAATACCCTCATCATATATATATATTGAAATAAATAAAAACACAAATTTAATTATATACATTTACAATAAACAGAAGTTATTGATATTCCAATTCCTTTAAAAGATTTGATTCTACAAACCAAATGAATGAACAATGAAGGGGTTGAATTAAATGTTTGAAAACTAACAACTTATTTTCTCAGTGGAACATGAAGTTCTTGAAAGAGAGATTGGAAGACTGCGAGCCTTGTATCAACACCAGCAACAACCACAGCAGGCGGTGCCGCCTCCCAACCACCGGAGAACCGCCAGCAAGGATAAACTGGATTCCCAATTCGCAAACCTTTCTTTGAAAAAAGACTCTGGCTCTTCTTCTACACGTGATGTTTCGGGCCCACTTCACATATAAAGCCTGAAGCTCTTCCTTCATGAATGGCTAAAAACAAAACAAGTATTTGCAGGTTTTTTCATTAGCTTCTTCATCTTCTCAACCCTTTTCCTTTTGTGTATTTGGGGTGTTTGGTGTCTGTTTCTATTTTATTATTTAATTATGCTAATTTAGTGTATTTTGGTCTCTGCACCTGGTAGTAGTCTGGGAATATTTATATCCCAGTTGGAGACTCACCGGAGGTGGTAACTTTAGAATATGATAACATATTTCATTGACTTTTATTATTATTATTATTATTAATTATTGAACTTAGTTTTGTGCAAAATATTGTTTGGGAATTTGTTTAATTATTACTTAATAATGAAAGCTCTCTTTGTAATGTTTTTTTCTCAATTGAATCCCTTATTACTATTTGCATATGGGACATAATTGCAAAATTTTATCTAATCCGGTGTGCAAAAGACGTAAATGCCCTTGTTATCCTTATATGAAATAGTTCAGAGCAGTCTACATTTTCTAGGAAATCTGTAAACATTTTTAAGTTGTGGCTTTTTTTTGAACAGCTTAATTTAAGTTGTGTGTGACTATTCGTTATCTTTATAAACAACTTTTTCTGAATAATTTATCTATAAAGTAGAAATCACGTGAGTTAAATAACTTTAGCCAAAGATTGTTATGTGATCAAACTTTGGATAAATAGAACATAATTTTTTAACAAGTGAGTCATCCATTTGTTGGAATGGGGTGGTATACCAACAGCTAACACTCACACCCAACTTAAATCTTTTATTATTTCTCACGTTCTACCTTATGTAAGTAATATATAAACATAATAAAACCATAACATTATTCATGCAAAAACAAAAATAATTATTTCACCATTCTATAAAAAACACTATGAGGCCATCCAAGCACTACATGAAAGGGATGATCTTAACTCATATTATGATTTCTACTCAAATCATCCGAACTTCTATCATGGTGAAACATATCAACCTAAGATGATCGATTATATTTTTGAAGCAATAAGGGCGCTAAATAAGACCAACAAAGGGATTTAGAAAAAGAGACGAACAATTAATGCACTTGTGGAGGATCTCTTAGTAGAGATGAAAGAAATGATTAGATGAGTTACTAATATTAAGAAAAATATATAAGTGGTGGAAACATGGATTTTTGGTGCAGATAAGGAGATTGGCGAACTTATGATAGAATGTGACCATGTTGAAGATGTTGTTAGAATTAAACTTAGTTTTACATTACAAAAATAAACAATGTATCCTTTATAATGTTTGAACGTGTGGTTGGATATATAATTTACTTTGTAGTTTAGATGTTAATTAATGTAACATCAATGCAATATCTAAGTTTTCTTTATATGTATATTTCAATATACAAATAAATAAATAAGTTTTTTTCTTGAATTGCAATTCAGGACAACCAATCAACGTATTCAAAAAGATAATATGGTTATACACTCTCGTTCAAGTGAATCTAAACTCCCAAAGTAACATATACAAATAAATAAATAAGCCATTTCGTAGATATGATAATGGGTTTGGAGTAAAAAAAAAAAACACTTCTCTCCGTAATATAAAATTTCCATAACATTTCTAGTAATAATTACTTAGTATGATATGATATAATATTGTTTACTATAGTCAGCTTCTTGCATATTTATCTACTTTATTTGTAAAGAAGTGTGTAAGAGGCATTCAAGCCAGCAACGATAGAATTTCAAAGTTATTGTATTATTCAATCCAAACACATTCTTATATGTACTTATGATTTTGGTTGCTTAGAGTCGATTATGTTCGATTAATCGTTGCTTTATTATTTCCTCTAATTTTATATAATGTGTTATTTCATAAAATCTAAATGTCACACAATCATCGAGAAAAAATGGTTTGCTAATGTATATGCGACATGTAAAAGTTGGAAAAAAAATTAAGAACATATTGTAAATGTTTGTTTTTTTTTTTTTTTTTAATTTGAAAAAATCTTATAAACCATTATAGGAAAAAGTCTTAAATAAGTTGTAGACAAATAAATTTGTAAAAAAAAAATAAAAAACTAAATTTAAGATGAATTCATAACAAAATTTGAAATTCCGACAAAATTTGATCGGAACAAATTATAAAATTTGAAAAATGGTTTACTTATTGTAGTGAATTGTGGTGATAACATGTAAGCATACATAAACCATGACTTCATTTTAAAACATAAAATCAACTATTGGACAACTTTTTTAAGTGGATTTTTAAGAGATAGTGATTCCATATTTTTTTATAATATATCTATCCACATTTAATTTTATATCTGACGTTTTAGTAATAACAAATTTTTTAACATGAGGTTACTATCTTAAAAAAAATCAAATATCAAATTATATATAATATAAAAATCAAAAATATTTTCGTTAAACTATTAATAAAAAAATGCACTTTGATATTCCTAAAATCGCCATCTTTAACGAAACCTCTAGCAAGCAATATTCAAAGATGGCACGGGAGATCAAAGAACCTTGCAAGAAGGAAGCCTGCGACATTCAAGCTTGTCTCTCCAAGAACAACTTTCTTCCCCAAAGGTACGCAATTCACCCCTTCCTTTTTGTTCAATTTGATTCTCGAAAACACCATTTTACTTAACCTAGGATGTACGATCATTTTCACAATAGCTGTGGCGTTCACTCTACTTTGTGTGATAGATTCAAACTCCCTTTCGGGACGTGAATCGCAAAAAATCGTAATTGATTTCTTTGTTTTGCTTATATCGAATTGGTAGGTTAGAATTGGACATATAATAATATATTTCACTTCATCTATGCTTCAAACAACGCATTTTTTTTGGGGATTAAGGGCGTATTTAAGATCATATTCGAACCTAGAAGTAGTTATTTTTTAAATTTGATTTTGTTTCCGAAAAATTGAAGTCATAATAGAAGTATATAATAGTTACTTTCAGATGGAATTCAATCAAAATGGACCAAGATTGTATTGAATTCATCCAACACTAGTGTTCATTTATCAAAGATTAAATTGCTCATAAAACAGTCAAATATGTGTTGCATCTTGATGTTGATAATGCACTTCTGATATTTGTAACAGGTGTATCAGAGTTATTCAATTACTACAATCATGCTGTGAGCAATGCGAGAATAAATCAACTCATTGTGGCTCTGTTTCTGGTCTCTTAAAGCAAATAAACAAGTGATATGTAAAAACAAAAGGGTAGCAGGAAATGAAATCTTTTTTTTTTTTTTTGAGAGAGAGAAAAAGTAAAAGATGTTATAAGTAATTTCAACTCTTTTTCATGCTTTGTGATACTAAATATCTTGTATCCCACTATACTATAGCTACAATAGTTCAGTTCAATTGTTGAATTTTGGCTGCAAAAACTGCAGGAATAAATGATGACAGAGTGATTCTTAACATTGATCCTGCTGGAGATGGGAGTTTGTGTTAATGCTGTATTCAAGAAATCTTAAAATAACTTATACAATTGTTATATTAATTATATATTATAGTTCCTTTTTTTTTTCTAGTGTGCTTACATAATCGTCAAACAAAAAGATATACTAAAGTTAAGAGTAAATTACAGTTTTGATCCCTGTGGTATACATTGTTCCGGAGTTTTGGTTATAGTTTTTGAAAAAAAAATACTTTTTTGCCCTTGGACCAAAATTGTTAAAAGCTAATAACTAGAGGGACCATTTCTGAAAAAAAAAGAACTCTGAATTAAAACCTGTTGACGCCATCGTTTACACCCTATTATTTATTTAATAATAATTCTAAAAACAGGAAAATAGAAAAATAGAAAAAGATAACCTGGGGCATTTCAGTCTTTTCATATGTACCATGAAGATGGTTGGTGTCAAATTTTGAAAACTAGGACCAAACCTGCATAAAGGTGTATACCACAAAACCAAAACCACAATGTACTCTACGTTATGTTTTGTTTCTAACCTTACTAGTTTTCCATGTATGGATCAGCGATCCTCCAAACGTATTTTAGTTCATCTTTAACTGTTTTGGTTTTAATTAGTTTATCTTTAATTGTTTTGGTTTTAATTGGATTACTGAATAAGTGAATAACACAATAGTTAAAACACGAGTTTATATGTAAAGATACCTATATTTTTTGGGGATTTAAAAAAGGATAATGACATAAACAAGTTACAAATTATCTAAAGTGTTTTCAAAATACAATTGAACTAAATAAATGTTGTCATAAGATAACAAACTTTTATTTTTGTTTTTTAAATACCATTGTAATTGGGAGAACCTATTTAATCCCGGTTACAAGGGTATTTTAAAAACAAAAGAAAAAGTTTGTTAACTTATAACAACATTTATTTAGTTTAATAGTATTTGTAAAATATTTTTAGATAGTTAGTTATCTATTTATGTTGTTATCTTATCTCTTTTTTTATTTCCTAAAAAGAAAAAAAGATAATCACTTTTTCTGATGCACGCTAAACGTTTGTGTTGATCAACAAAATTTTCGACAAAAAAAACTTTTGCAATGTAACAAACAATTTTTGACGTAGAAAATATCAAAAAACACTAATATTCGTTCATTAACAGGTTCACATAAATATTACAAAAAAGAAAAAAATAAAAAATAAAAAAAATAAAAAAAAAATAAAATAAAATATATATATATATATATATATATATATATATATATATATATATATATATATATATATATATATATATGGAAAAATTCAATAGAGAACCATTATTAATCAAGTAACCAAATAACCAATCTAAAGCGTCAGAATTTATAATGGACGCACATGTACCGGATTATAACAAAACCCACTTTTTTTTTTTTCATTTAAATTTTTTTTAGGCCAAGTTTTTTATCGAAAAAAAAAACCGAATATACCGTTGTTCACGATTTTTCGTCATCTTTCCATAGAAATCCATGATGATATATAAAAACCGAACTTTTTTTTCTCGAAAAAAACTCACTTAATTTTCTTAGTTTTTCAATATTTAAGTTTATTTTTATCAAAAAAAACTAATTATACCAAAAATATTAATTTTTTGTACTCTATTAATAAACATCAACACCGATTAAAAAAAAAAAAAAAAACCTCGAACAGTGTAGATTCACACTGTGAATCTAAACTGTAAATATTTCAATTTTTAACATTCACAATATGAAAAATCTCGAACAGTTCAGATTCACATTGTGAATCTGAATTACTATTATGCACACTGTGAATCTGAGAATGTTCACAAAAAAAACCTCGATCAGTGTAGATTCACACTGTGAATCTAAACTGTAAATATTTCAAATTTTAACATTCACAATGTGAAAAAGCTCCAATCAGTTCAGATTCACACTGTGAATCTGAGTTATTATTATGCACACTGTGAATCTGAGGAGGTTCACAATATGAATCTGAATAGGTTTACAATATGAATCTGAACAGTTCACAATGTGAATCTGAACTGAAATATCGTTTTTTTTAACATGAATATGAATCTATGTTTAAAAAGTACAAAAAATTATGAATTTTGATATATTTATTAATTTTTTTCTATAAAAAATAGACCTTAACTTTTTTAATCAAAGAAAATGAAGTGAGTTTTTTTCGAAAAAAAAAAGTTCGTTTTTTATATATCATCATGGATCTCTATGGAAAGAGGACGAAAAATCGTGAACAACGGTCTATTCGGTTTTTTTTTTGATAAAAAACATGGCCTAAAAAAAATTTTAAATGAAAAAAAGTGGTGAGTTTTTTTGTAAAAAGTGGATTTTTTGGTATAATCCGGTGTGTGTGCGTCCAATGTAAAAGTGTACATCTATTTCCTTGCCCGTTGATCGTTATGATTTCCGACGCTCACGATTGGTTCCTTGGTTCCTTGGTTAATTATGGTTCTCTATTGAACCTCACCCTATATATATATATATATATATATATATATATATATATGGGAAAGGGGAATATAAATTACAGCCCCACCTAAGCTTAGGTACTAAACCTCTTGAAAATACATTGTTTTACTATATAAAGATTACAGTTAATGGAT